TGCTTCCCCTTTTTTCATCTATCTATTTTTTCTATGGTATTGCACCAATCGCTTGCAACGTGCTGTTATGTACGGTCAGAGATTGTAAATTTGTTTTGGTTTAAAAATCTTCCTGTAAATAGTTATAAGCAGATTAAATACTTTTATTGGATAATTATCCTAAATTCAAAGTATTATAATAATACTTCGAAACATAAGAAGTATTTAGTTTTATTCTGATGTCCAAACCTGGTATATAAGACTACAGTGAATTTTCTAAAACTTTATGATATTTAATCGATTTCAATAATATGCACAGATAAATTCAAAAAACATGTTGTCTTAAATAAAAGTAATTTCATTATCTTGTACTCGGTAAACGCTTTCATAGAACAGCCGACATTTTCCAATTTAGAAGCAACGGACCAAAAACATAAAACTTAAAAGACAACAATATTAAATAACAAACAATCTTGTAAAAATCGTGTTCAGTCAACTGCAGTATCAAGAAACGCCCCAGGGTTTCAAACGAGTAATGATACAGAAGTTTCTTCAACGTCTGGAGCATTTAACGTAAAACAAACTCGGCAAAATAACATTGCTTAGCATTACGCATAAGACACAATCACAGTGAACTGTGAAAGAAAGTGTTGGTTTGCTCATCAAAAAAATCACCGGATTTATCATTCGATTTTTTTGATGAACAAACCATCTTTATGTTGTTGCTACAATTTTCCTTTATGGTTGTTGCTTAATTTATATAGTGTAATAATACTACGTCCAGGCCTTGCATACTGTCTAAGTAGTGTTTTAGGCCAGTAATGTTTCTTGGATTATGAGATTACGTATCATTTCGGTGTTCTGACGTCCTTGAAAATCCTGAGTTGAATGAAGAGCTTTTTAATTTGCAAATATTTTATAAGAGGCTCGTGACTAAGTGGTAACCAAGTAGGTTAACATATTGCAAAGTTAGCAATCTCATTGAGGTCAGTCTGTGGATGGGTGACCATTCTTAACACATTGAGGGGGGGGGAGGGGAAGGGGTCCCTCCGTGCCTCGGGGACAGTCCGACAATAGTCTGTTTTCGATATCGACTGGTACTTGGGTTGTATAGGTCTGATAGAAGTCGCGTCGCGGAAAAGAACGAAGTTCAGCCGTATCCGACTTAAAGCCGATTCCAACCTAGTTTGGGAAACAGGTTCAGTGGAAAGTAATTGTATTTTATCGCTTGTAATAATATGTGCAAACGGAAGAAGAATAACTATAACAAGCATTCAATTGTTTTGCTTAAAATAAAGACATACTGTCAAATTAGAATCTGGGTTCTCTCTGTGGTTAGTTCTCGTAGTTTTTAAACAGGTTTTGCCAATAAATCATTGAGAACTTATCTAACCTCAAGGGATTCCTTTCCGTTAAAATTAATTATAGTTCTTCTATTTCGGTCGGTTGCTTCAATAGGTACTGAAAAATATTTTATCCTCCAAAAAAATTTTCATGTAAAATGTTGCCATTCTCAAAAAGTTATCAGATTTAAAATATGCGTAAGTTATGAGATCTGATAACTTTTAACTAACTCTACACGTCCTAACTCTACAAGCCCTAACTTCACAAACCCTACATCTTAGTCAAAATTAGTCGTTTAGTCGTTTCTTGCAGTAAGAAATATTGTATAACAGAAAAGTAATGAACAGTAAATAATTTCGTACCCCAAAAGGTAAAAAAGGAACCCTTATAAGATCTTTCTTGTCCGTCTGTCCGTGTGTCACCAGCGATTTTCTCAGGAACGGATAGACCTAGCAAGTTGAAGTTTATACCAGATACTGAGGTCTATGGTCCTTATTAGGTGTATAAAAATCAAAGTCCTGAGTCAACACGATAAAAAGATATAGGCAAATTTCGATTTTCGCCAGTACCAAAATTTACCTTAATTTTCAACATTTTCTCTTTACTTGTGCTGTAAGACCTTGCTTTTAACCAAAATTGAATTGAAAGTACCTTAAAGATTGTGGGTCAAAAACCTAGAATCACGAAGCCAAAAAATAAAAATAAAACGAAAATTAAGATTAATTTTGGTACTTACAAATTTTCGCGAAAATCTACTTCAAATCTGGGTAGGTACGGAACCCTCGGCGCACGAGTTCGACTCGTACCTGACCGGTTGTTTTTCACCTTACATCCATGTGACGGTAGCGAAACGCCACACACAGATCCAATACACGTGAACTTAAAAAATAAAAGCCATAACATAGAAAATCATCAATCTGTTTTCTGCGATTCTCATTCTACTCGTATTCTAAATTTTATTTATTCAATAGCAGATACTGCACCGCGATATTCACTAAATGTTTAGATATCCAGATGCCGACGTCCACTTTCCTATTTTAATTCTTTTTTTTGTGTTGTACGAGTATTTAACACACTACCATTACCTATATAGCACTAGTAGGTAACAGGTCACTAAGCTACAACGATTTGGATATTCAACACGCCCTAAGTTCTACACTGCGCTCTATTGTTAGCCTTCCATGTAGAACCCTAAATTACAAGTTTGTCAAAGATTTATTAAAGGATTTGAACATGTTTTAGCCAGATATTGCGAACGGCTTTAAATTAAGGCAGTAAATCTCTCTCTCTGCGAACTATATGACTTAATCAATTAGGTTAACCTTGCTTTAATTACAGTTTTAGAATTCAAGTTGAGAAATTGAGCTATGATTGTACATGTACATCCCAATCGTGTTAACTCGATTTAATAACTTTAATATAGGTTTTTTGCTTCTTTGAGAGTAATTAAACCTGCATTGCAACTGCAACTTTTGTAGGAAAGGAAAGGAACCGTGGCCTACGAAAACATGAAGAAAGACACTGTCATATAACCCATAACGCATTTCATTATTCACTTTTTCCGTACCATAATACAAAAGAACAAAAAAGTTGTACCTATTGTGTATAAAAGCAAATATAAAATACACACATACATACAGTTAATCATAATTTTAACATTCGGTATTTTCTCGTGTAAATTCTTAGCCCCTAAATGGAATTCAAGAGTTGAACAGAGTTATTTTAGCTAAGGCACGACGTTACAGTCAATATTAGCCTAAATTTCGTTTAGCTGGCGTCTCCTTTGGGATCTAGATATTTTACCGTCTGACAGGTTAAATTTATACAGGCTTATTTCATATATAGCAAAAAGTCTAAATATTGTAACTACGAAGTCATATTTTATTTAACCTACTCGTCCGTTTTGCAATAAATAATAAATCAAAAGGAACAAAATCACAGGTCCTTTTGAGGAGCCTGCAATATCAATAATTCTCACATGGTCCTTCGTCTGAGTTATATACATCGCTTTCTATCTCCTACAGTTTCAAACACACATTTGTATTTACGGCCTCGAAGTTTTATATCCTAATATTCAATATGTATCCGATATTTTAGGTTTGCGATTTAGAAAATATTTCGGTATTCTGTTCAAAGTTTGTAGTAATGCTTTCAATCATATTTGGACAAACTGTTCAAGTATTTCTTACTTCGGGGGAGAAACAGTGGCTTGTGAAATAATACTTAAGAAAGTCTTACATAAATTTGTTACGTGTCTTTGTAACTTTGTTATTAAACACATCATTACTGACAGCAACATTAAGGAATTAACGTCATGACGCGTAAGGTTTCGTCACACTAATGAAATTTCCATTCAAATATTACTGAAGCAGAAAAGCGTAGAACACGATATGTGCCACTGGCTTATTATCTCAAGTTATATGTAGCCATATGTTGTAAATTATTGCTTAAATATCTTCGTAGCATATGTACCAGTCTTTATTAGCTGGCTCAAAGGTTTTTGGTTGTTGGATCTCTCTTTACATAATTTAACTATCATGAAATTTATATAAATCCCATTTTAGTTATGATTGTGAATACTGAATCTTATAATTTTAGTAAATGTTGGCGTTATTTTTTGTTTTGTTTTAGTTATTAAAATTTCTTTTAAATAGCGACAAAACCTGTTACTAATTTTTATCGCTGTAGACCCAGCTGGTGAGAGGTGACTGTATATTTTTGCGTTTATACTTCAAAATTAAACTATTCTTGCTCATCAAAAATCATTTGCCTATTTATTAATAGCTAAATGATTTCCCAGCTGTGGTGTCCATCATCATTAGTCTATATCCATCCACTGCTGAACGAAGGCCGAGATCCAAGAAGCGCTAACCATCGAGGTCTTGGCCTCAACTTGTCGGTTACCACGTTTGCCGATATATCCGAGGATACAGTGTTTTTGATTTATAACTTAGATTAATTACTGAGCTGAACATGTACTTAAAGCGGGATCACAGTTTAAAAAAAAATGTTATTGGAATACAGGCTATACATAATGTTGCCATTCGTTCAGCGTCATCTGCGTTTCTAATTTTTTCTTGTTTTACAGAAAAATCTGATAATTGAGAGGATATATCTCACGATTTTCCTCTTACATTAATTTTATAGTACTGTACTGTATAAACAAACTGTAAAGTCGAAAATTAACAGAGAAGTGGACACCAAACTTTAATGACATTTTAAAACAACATTCAAGATAGTTTCTGAAACATTTCCAATGAAATAGTATCTCGTAGCCGCAGTATTTAGAAAATTTATGATATTGCCAGAAGTAATTTATGACTGATTGATCATAGGTTTTAGCTTTTGATAAATTGTTTCACGAACAATCTGTCATAGCCTGTAGATATAAATCAAACTTTGTCGGGATTTAGATAGTGATTAAAATGTTTTGGGTCAATATTCAGAATTTATTCAGAATTGTTCAGATTAACTCGGATATTTGCAATTAATTTCATTTACTTATGTTTTAAACTTAACAATTTAGGAAAATTATTATATTGTAATACATCTTCCAAAGTGTTCGTAAATTTGTCAAACTTTACTCTTATTTTTATAACAAAGAAAACAAAGTCGTTTTACACTTCCATCAGTGAGACAGCTGACAATAAATCCTGGTACGTAATGGTAAGTCTTACCGTCATTGATGAATGGGTAGATCAATCGAAGCTCAGCCTCGTAAGTTTCAAGAGATATGGCTGGAGCGATAGGAGGCACGTAGTCGTCTTCTGGGGAGCGTTCAGATCCGTAGCCTTGGTCGAAGCCCGGGTCTTGAAGCTTCCATACCGGCTCTGCGTCAGATCCTAAGAAGTGAGATGTGATTAGTATAGTTATTTGAAATACAACATAGCAGTAGAAGAATTATTCTATGTCAATAATGTTGTCGTGTATTTATTCCAATATAAAATATACAGCTGTTATTGGTGTGAATAAAGCGGCTTCAAACAGTTAACTTCACGTTGGTAAAATTTCTGCGTTGCAGTAATGGTAACATGATCATGATATGTTCAGTACGACACCGTACTCTATTACGTTGACGAAGAATTTATGCATATAAACCATTTACGCTTGAACGGAGCGGAGGTCATTATAAGGATGGAGTGATTTGCTTTTTTGAAATTATTTGTGCATTAGATACGCAGCAAACGTATTATCTTAATTATATTTGATGATAAAAGTAAGCCACTTTTAAACATATTACATATTAATGTAATTTCTCATCGATCAAAGCCTGCTTCCCTTTTAATGCTGATAATGTTTTTGTAAATCTGCATACAGATATACATATATATTACTTAATGTAAAAACATATATATGGACATGTAAGCGTGAATTGAGGTCTGCGATGCCATTTATGAATGATGCCTCTTATTATTTTTCTTCGGGCTTCTGCGTGGCACATAATCAAGAACCCAATAAAATTTATACCATAAATATTTTACATCAGCAAACATATTATAAATATATATTAGGTTTAATGTACGTATGTAATGTGTGAGACTCGCGGGAATAGGTTTTGGCAAACAGTAAGATTTTGAGCTCTTTGTTTTTAATATTTAAAACGTATGCAGCTGTATTTTAAGGAAATAAGGTACAATTTTGAACAAAGAACAGTAGCAAATATTTCATGTAATATGTAAGGAAATTGCCATAATTTTCTTTTGATGGCCGCGTCTGTTGATTGGTGTTTGTTTTGTTTCGCTTATTAACAAGTAATACTACTTCATATTTGCGTTTGGAAACAAGCACCGTTTTGTTTATGGTCTAGTGTACAAATTTCTGACAACGGCTTGTTTTAACGTTAAAGGCCATAAAAAATGCAATATTGCAGACTTAAATAAATAAAAAAAAACAGGTAATTTTATTTAAAAAAAAGCGGGCAAGTGCGAGTCGGACTCGTCCACCGAGGGTTCTAATTTGTAATCGAAAACTGTACATCATAAAAATAATAAAAAAAACTGTTTAAGGTTGTGCCAAGTGTTATGCCAATGAAGCCCTTTCATAAGATACACAACATGACACGGTTATCTCAATTCAAAATTTGAACCGCCGTTCCTTGCATAAAAGAACCTGTTTTTTTATGATTTACTTACAAAATAGTTTTCAGATTTTTCCCTATACTTGTAGTATAACACGGTATTATAATTTCATAGTTATAGGTCAACGGAAAATACTTTATAAATTTTGATTCCCCTGAGAGTGTCGAAATACACGTTTTTTGCGGCATAAACGGCCATATCTTTTTTTACGTTAACATAGAAGTTTTTTTTTTTTACAGCTTCAAGAGACTGTAGACCTGAGTATATCGTTTAATTTCAACTCAATACCTAGGATACTCGTTTCCGAGATCTTTATCTCGGGAACGCGTGGAGGTATCGAGACCCTTTGGTCTTGACAGACAGATAGACGGACAGACGGACGGACAACAAAGTGATCCTATAAGGGTTCCGTTTTTACTTTTGAGGTACAGAACCCTAAAAATATAGTAGAGGGTTGGAGGTTTCTTATTTTAAGGATATTATAAGTTGAAAATGTATTATGTATGAAGGAACGGTTGGTAAAATATAGCTTTGCGTGTCTCGGATCAGTTAGGCGGAATACGGTGCGCCAGCATTGATTTACGCAGCCCACCTTACTGTGAGTAAACGGTCAGTAATACAACCCACTCCACTGATTTTAGGCTTTCATAAAGTATTAATATAAAGTAGGATATAAGTTCATAAATATTTCGTATAAAAACTGACCTTTTGTGAGATAAAATATGTAAAGAATTCTATAGATGCGGCAGCTCGGCGTCGTACGAGATATTAAGGGTTAAGAGTTATGAGCTTTTTTGTACTAGTTAGCTTTAGCTTTGATAATTAATAGTAAAGTAACTGAAATCGTAATAAGAGGCTTCCTTCCCAACTGGAGCGGGGGTAGAAAAAGGGACAAATAAGGATAACGATTAGTCGAACTACGATTGAAATTCAATTAAACATAGAATTTTGTTGATGAAGTGCCCAACGTTGACTGCACGTCTGCTGTGGAGTCTGCGATAGAGATGCTTTCGACTTGATGACGTTATATCGTATTCATATTTGTAAGGTTTTCGAACGATAAGCAGGTATTCTCGTTTCTTATGCACGAATCAAGGGAATTCCTGTTATGTTTGTATTATTCCTACTAAATTTTATTAGATAATTAGTCTTCTAATATTAAAATCTTACTAAAAGTACTAAGCTCGCTAACTGCCTACCAGTAATTTTACACCGTCATTGCAATCGAAGTCTTGGAAGTAAGCTTATATATCGCTTTTCTAGGTACAAATGCAAGAAGGTGATTATAGCGGCCATTAGACTGAAATAATTGTTGTATGGTCTAATTTATGTACAGGTAGCACGAAGAGAAGAGCATAATTGGTGATAAAACCTACGAAAATACGAACCATACTTTTTTTCAGTATATGATACCTGTACTCTTAAACATAGATTTAAAAAGTCCTGGAAGAAATGGATCTCGACTAAACAGGCATAAGACAGTAAAGAATCAATTCTCATCATCACCGCCGTAAGTTAGGAAGACCAGTGGTTCCTAAGCAAGGCAGGACAATAAAGCTTCAGTCTTCTCAATTGACCTTAACCTTTGTGTATCATGATTAGGATATAGTTATCAGTGATTGCTTACTTTCGATTCAGTTCTGTTCGCCAACTTGGTTGTAAAAAATTAAAACTAAATAAAAAAACGAAAACGATAAAAGAAAATTGAAAAATATTTTATTAATGAGCACTTCCTATTAAAAATATTTCGATCACTTTTTCCTTTATTTTTATATGTACATTAATTGTTTCATTGTGGAAATTGATATTCGGAAACGAATATGTCATTAGAGCAAAGAAAATTCATTTGAAGCTAAAAGAAATATCTGAAATTTAGAAGTAGGAATTTGATTGAATCTGTGCGAATAAACTGTGGTGTGAGTTCTTTAGAGGGATGGTAAGTTTGGGAGAGGGTGACAGCCTGTTAAATTAAAGTAATGTAGTGAAAATGCGACTGGTAAAATTTTCGAATTTGTCTCCATATTCGTGTTTACTAGGCGAAAACGGGTTACGAAACCGCGGATTTTGTAAAACATTCTCGGCTCAGTCATGTTAATAAATATCGTGCTTTGTACGAAAACTTTATTATTTCTTTTTAAAAAGTTTTGAAAGAAAAATCTTAATATTAGCTTTTTCTTAGTTTGATATGAATGTATGTTTGATATGATATGAATAATGAATTAGGTATTATTAAAAGCGATTAGGTAATAAGTAAAGACGAAAAGATATTCATCATGGCTTTGAATTGCTGGATGCGACGTTATGACCACAGTTTTTGATATTTGTTTGTTTATTCGTTACTTGTCACGTTTATTTTTACGATGGGTGGAATGGTGCAATTTTTCAAATACTTTCTTATAAGTACAGAAAAAGACACAGAGTAGAAAGGAGTCCAGTAGCTTTCTACACGTGCTTAAGAGTTAAAGTGGTTCTAAGTTTGCCGTAAAAGTTACTAAAAGCATTAATCCAGAATAGTTGTTTAATGCCAGCTGGCTACTTTTATGTTACTACTACTAATTTTTTAATGATACTAAGACATCATATAATGAAAACGCAATACCTTTATCCTTGATAAAGGATTGTAGAGCACTTTTTATAATGTCTTTAATGTCATACAAATCGAAGCACTCATAGACTTTTTACAATCGATAAATAAATCTATTACTAGTTTTGCTAAATATACTAGTGTTCACATGATTAAACATAGGTATTTGTGATTGTAAGCGCCTGTTTGAAGGAACTATTAAAGATGATGAAGTAATGGCTGGATAGAAAGCTCTACGATCAAAGACAAGTAAACTACAGATAGGATAACATTAGCGTATGAAAAGTAGGTCCATTGTTTTCATATTGAATGCATTACATGAATAGAAGTCTTTGTTCTCTTCAAAATTGTCAGTAAACTGTTGTTTAAAGTGCTTTAAAGTAAAATCAATTCTTTTAGTAAAACAATTACATAATAACATCATTAAAAACCCCGTCACAACTTTAAAAACAACAACTGCTCAATGAGACTCTTCTAATGAGCCCAAACATGGCATACATGCTGTAATTTTCCCACCGTACCATATCGTGGAAATACCATCAAAGTAACAGTATATCAAATTCCAGATCAATCGGACCTGTGGATTTTAGATCAGTGGAGATCAGTTCATCACCTAGGAAGTAAGCTGATGAACTTCAAAATTTATAACTAAGAACCATCTCGATCAAAAACTGACCGATTTCGTCTTCGTAAGCTAAATTCTCATCGAAACTGTATTTTATTTCATTCATCTGATTGCAGTAAAATATGTTTTTTGAGACTTATTCTCACATTTATTCCAACTTTTTGGGTAGACATTTATAGATTTACACCCTACTACATAAATAGGACTAAATAATCTCAACAAAAAACAATCTCTCTCCTTCCTATGCCTTGGAGACCACGAGTGACCACGTAACTTCAACACATACGTACGATCAAAAAGTTCGGACAAACTAATATAATTAGGCCTGTCGTTATCACGTTTCGGTAGCGAGGTCAAATTGTTGTAGCCCTGAGATCAAACTATGAACTAACAACTATCAAAGATGTATTTTACCTTATGGTACATGCCAACACTTTTCTCTTTCGAGAATTCAGCAATATAGACACCTTTGCTAGCAATTCTGCTTTATAAAGTGGCAGTCGGTCGCTTCCTTCTGTAAATCTAGTTCCAAAAACGTTTTTAAATATTATAAGC